ACTTGAAGGGAGAGAGAGGCTGCAAATAGATTTAGACAGACTACGAAAGTGGGCAGATGAGACTAGGATGGGGTTCAACATAGACAAATGCAGGGTGCTGCACCTTGGGAGAAGGAATCCACAGCATACATACAGGCTGGGGAGTTCCCCTCTTGAAAGGTCAGAGGTGGAACAGGATCTTGGAGTCACTATTGACTCCAAGATGAACATGAGCTGCCAATGCCAGACCGCAGCCAGCAAGGCCAGCTGTACCTTGTCATGTATCCAGAGATGCATCTCAAGCCAGTCCAGAGTGGTGATACTCCCCTTCTTTGCAACTTTGATCAGGACGCAGTTGGAGTACTGCTTCCAGTACTGGGCACCACACTTCAAGAGGGATGTGGCCAGCCTGGAGAGGGTTCAGAGGAGGGCCACGCCCTTGGTGAGAAGGCAGCAGGACAGGCCCTGTGAGGAGAGACTGAGGGACCTGAACTTGTTCAGCCTCAGCAAACTCATCAGGGAAGATGAACAGCAAATAGGTAGAGACCTTTTCTCCCCAGCACCACCTGGGGTGACAAGGAGCAATGGTAATAAGCTTATGGAGAATAGGTTTAGGTTAGAGATCAGAAGGCAATATTTTATAGTTAGGGTGGCCAAAATCTGGAACCAACTTCCCAAGGAAGTGGTCCTCGCCCCTACCTTGGGCAAATTCAAGAGGAGGTTGGATGATCACCTGTCTGGAGTCTTGTGAACCCAGCATTCATTTCTGCCTGTGGCAGGGGGTCAGGCTAGATGATCAATTCAGGGCCCTCCTGACCCTACCTACTATGAAACAGCCCAAAGTATCTAGATTGTGAAAAGTCTGCAGAGGTCATAGCGGGGAGTGACCTGTTAATAAGATTTAGGTTTTTTTTACTGTGAAACTGAGTAGCAGCAATCAAAAAGAATATAAATGAGACTGTTTATCTGGCTGCTTGCAAATGCTAGGGAGGGTGCAGGGGGGACCCAGAGCTTTACTTTAAACTCTGCACCCTCCCTAAGAGCTGGCCTGAAACTCGGAGAAAAGCAGTCAGGTCAAGGTTTCTGTTGGTTTCCATTCCATTTTCCATTTGGTGTTTCTTGTATTTTATGCTAGATGCTTGTCAGAACCTCAGGTAGTGGAGAAACTTCTTTGGGTGTCACTGAGGTGAAAGCCCAGGTTTGGCTACAGCATGCTTTATCACTTTTAAATTTGGCCCTCACATCTTACATGTTGTACAGTATGGCAGGAGGTGGGGAAGCAGCAGTGTGAGTCAAGGGACTGCATATCTGACACTGCATGCTGTAAACAAGATGTGTCCAAATCTCATCAAAAGCATATATGTGCAAAAGTGTATGCATCAGATTGATACTCAGTGTGCACTTGCAGAAGGAGACATGATAAAGCCTACTCTAATTTCTTCCACAGCTTGGTCACTGCTTGGATTAACTTACCTCTAAACACGTAGCATACCTGCATGATTTAACCTGCCAACCCCAAAGGGAGTTTTACCTGCTTATGTCACGTCACAATTCATATCAGAATTCTAAAAGTGTCTGTGAATGTATCGACTCCAAGCTGATGAGAAGCAGGCTCTTGGCCTCACACTTGCTTTTTGCTACATTGTGAACATTTATTTTCATTTGGGTCTAGAGTACAATATTGCATTCATTCCAGTATCAACCAGTATAGCTTATACTATTACTCCATCATTAAGAGACTTGCAAAATGGAAGTGTGTAGAAAAAGCATCTCGAAATGCCATTAGCCCTAGAAAAAGCTGCATCTTCAATGTTTTGAAAGTATATCTTCTACAGAATAACTTTTCAAAGTGCACAGTAGCAGTGGATCATAATGGAACTTTTTAGAATAAGTCAATACACCCTGGTCTGAAATTTTTCATCTAGATGTGTTACTTTCTAGGGTTAGTTGGGTTCATCTACCTTTGTTTTTTTGTTTCATTGGATTGCAGAGGCAGATATCAAGAAATTAAATAAATATATGAGTCCATGGGTATTAAGCAGACAGTTATGAATCAGTTAGGGAGGAAGACACTAACCTGAATGAGCATCCAGCTGAACTGACAAAGATAAAGGTAATGCATAAGAGCTCCCAGTATAGAGCAGCTTTCCTGTGAGAGCTCTCGACTAATGTAAGCTGAGGCAAGAAATGAAATCTGTAAGAAAAAGCAAACAAACAAACCACATACATTATACAAACTGGTACCAATTATAATTAAACTATTATTAAAGAAAATCAGCAAATTGTTTCTCATTTGGAAGGAAAGCTGGAATGATGCAGAGCAAATTAAAGTACCACTGAGAGACTATTTAATAACGGCATGAAATACTTTGGTAAAAATGCATTTAATGTTCAACCTAGGGTGAAATTGTCTCCCTTTATAATCAGTGACTTTCCACTGACCTCAGTGGAGTGACAATTTCACCTACATGTTTTTAAAAGGATTTATTGTTGAGATGAACTATTATTGTCTAATCTATTTAATGGTATTTCTTTGCCTACAAAAGTATTATTTTATTGAGGCCCTGATTGTACACTCTGCAGTATTCGCTTACATTGTCCCAGTGACGTAATACTTTCAACCTGTTCTTGTTCACTCTTTCATAAGAAGTAACAGTGATGAATAGATATGAGTCCTGGTTCCCTTCTGATTTCTATCAGTTATGATATTGGTATAAATGCACTGATATCAATATAATCATTCCTAATGTATCTGAATGCGAGTTTAGAAGCAGACCCAGAGCTTTCCTATATTTTAAATGACAAAATTGATAAAGATCAAGGCAATTGTAAACAGCATAAGATAAGCAAATGGATGTCAGCCATGAGAATGCGACAAAAACTATGACTAGGAATCATAGTAATCCCAAATTTGGGCATTTGTGGTATGACAAAGGGCTAAGACATCTATTCACTTGGGTTTTGTGCCACCATAAAAAATTTAAACAGGCACAAGGGTGATGTCCGTTGGCTGCCTTTCTGATTATTGATAGTAGCAGGATATGCTTCTCCATGCTACCTGTTAAGATCATAACCAAAGTCAGAAATAACTAATTTTTTAAGGTTAACAAATGACAAAAAGAACAGACTGACTGACAACTTCGCATGGGATATTTTTGCACCAATGCAGTGAGAATGCTGTTCTCAGAATGAGATCACAATAGCACTCAAAAGTTGTTTCTGACATAACTATCAAATAAAGTAAAAAATATGCTAGTAAATACATTGGTAAATCTTTGATGTTGAAAAGAAGATCTCTTCCAGGATGCCTCCTTGACAATCATTTAGTTGATAAACAACTAAGTGGTAGCATAATTCATTATCAGCTATTCATTATCAGCATTAAGAAACCTGACTTGATTAAATGCAGTAAAGTAAAACCTTCATCAGAGTCCAACTGCAAATGAACAGTCAGACTCTTCAGACAACTTTGCATTGCAAGAAACACAGACAGTATCTCTCTGCCATATTATTAATGACTAACATACTGGTCTAAAATTAAAATATAAGCTGTATATAAAATACTTTAAAAAGAAATATGAATGCATAAGCTAAATAATCAAGTAAATTCAGAATTACTTTACACAAAAATATTTTTTTGGAACTGGGAAACTGCAGTAAAGTTTCAAATTTTTTCTTATCATTTCAATTGCTGACTACTTAAGCAGCCTGATACCCTACAATCATTTCTATCAGGCTAAACACCAGGAATGAAATTCTGACCCCATTCAAGTCAATGGGAAACTCCTATGCTTTCCAAGGGGCCAGGATTTCAAGTCAGAATCTTGGTTGAGGTGTCTGACTCTCTGTAAGTAAAGTAAGAAATCATTCAGCAGCATGTGTGTCAGCCCATGATATATGCTTTCAGAAACTCTCCCCTAATGATTACAGTGTTTCTACTAGAGTGAATGTCCCATAAAAAAGTGAGGTGCAAGGACTGAGTTAACCACAATTTTTGCAGTATTAAACATGGTTCTTGTTTTTTAATTGTTTTTAATAATAAAAACATAATCTTTTCAAAAAGAAGATGTGTACACTTTACTCAGGGCAAGATTTAAAAACAGACCACTGAGATAATTTACATACACAGCAGCAGTTCCCTAAAGCACAGCACACAATTCAAGCTGGGCCGTTTAAATGCAGTGAGTAACTAACAGCGAGAAAAGAAAGAAGAAAGTACTGTATGTATATTCTAAGTCAAGGCAACCGTCTTCTGTCAGAGCATTTGTCATAAAGCATTTCTACTTGGGTTGACCAGTGAAACCCTTGAATTCCAAGCAAAAAGATCTGCAAAAGTAAATGTCCTGTAGGAAAGTAGGAATGGAAAGCATCTGCTGGGTCATCGAGTCCAGTCCTCTGCTATTACAGGCAAACACATCACATAATGCTTTTCATAAACATGTAATACTTTTCATTTAGGATCAATATTAGGCTTTTATTCCCAACCACCCCACTGAAAACAATTTACTCATTTATTTTGGTGCTAACATTGTCTATTAGCTTAAATAGTTATTTTCCTTCCCTGTTTAACTCCCTCATATCTCCTATCATACTCTGATTTGTGTGATTAAATAAGTCAAGCACTTTTAAGATGTGTCAGAGGTGTCAAACTCACCCCACTCATTGGGACAGATCCAGACCATGGGGTTCCTCACAGGCTGGATCCAGATGCAGTGATGGGGCAAGGGGCCGTGAGGAGAGCAGTGGGGGGTTAACACAGTCATTGCTTGCCTCCTCCAACACTGACATGTAGTCCACTATGCAATGCTATACAGACATAAACTAGATCAGGTATCATAATTAGCACCACACTCGGTCCTGGCTAATTTACCTTGCCTCTCAGAGTAATTTTAAACAACACTGCAGCATCTGGTATGATCAGGTTATAATTTTATCCCATTCATCCTTATGTCTTTTATTATCCTTTCTTTCAAAATTAATTCTAAACCACTGCATACCATTGAAGTCTGACCAATGAACATACAGTGGCTTGGTTTACTTTCCTTTCTTCATCTTACAAGTACTACTTTTATAATTTTCCAGTTATACAATACCTTCCCAGACTTTGTAGATGTATTAAAAGACCAGCATAAGAGACTATAGAACCTAAGGGGCCAACAATTTCTTATGCCAGTTGTTTCAGAATCTTGGGATAGAGATTATCTGGTCCTCAATTTGCGCGCGGTATGGCATTTGAGTTTTGGTTTATCTCAGTTATCGTAATTTCCACTTCCATACCATCATTCCTATTAGTAATCATGTCTTTCCTTCATGTTCACCATTATGATGCTTACTGAACCCTGAGGTAATGTCTTAACTTGGTTTCAGGGCCAAACAAACTATTTTCATTTTCCAGCCTCACTACACAGTGGCCCCTCTTCTTTCCTTCTCTTTTTAATTATATGGCCTTTTGTTGAAGAAAATGCAATTATTTCTCATGTAACGTCACCATCTGAATGATCCCAATGCCTTAAAATGTAGTATTACATGTATATAGGGATGATATCAGGAACTAATTCAAGAAGTCCAAATTCAGAATACTAAAATAATTCAATTAAGTCCCTTAAGAGCTGAATTATGAGAACAAAAAGACCTGGAAACGCTGCTTTTCCAAATCAGGTTAACATTGACAAATCAATCCATTATTTTCTCTATAGGAATTCTATTTGAAAAGCTGGGTAAAGAGGTAGACATGAAAACAGAAGCAATTTCACAGTAAGCTGAAGCATAGCAGTCAAGCAGGAAGTAGAAGGGCTAGAAATTAAAAACAACAAGAATAAATATTTAGAAAGAATACAAAAGCAACAGGAGAGGAGTATAAAAAAGTAGGAGATTCAAAGCTTCAAGATAAATATAAGTGCTGAAATACTACCATGTGATATATTTAAAGGAAAGAAAACAATGAACAATAAGGTTGAGATGCAGCATAAAACAGTGAGAAACATCTGCAGGGCATAGAAAAGATGACTTCCAAAAGTTGTTTCTATTTGGAAACATATATTTTAAAAATCAGACCATAAACTTCATTTACCAAGCCTGTATGGTAAATGTGGACAGATAATGTGTATAAAACTATCACTGGTACGATCAAATCAGGAATTAAAGATATATACTTCCATCAAAAGGTTGTGGGCGCTTCAAAATAAAAGCATGATTTACCATGGTTACATTTTTCAGCCTAAATACAGAGAATGACAATCCCTAAAGCTAAATATAATAAATATGGCGCACACATGCTTCTAGCAGACATGGAACTGCCTCCCCCGCCAAAAAAAAGAAATGTGCTTTCCTGGAAGCACCAGTGTGTTAGTTCGACCCTGCTCTGCAGCATCTGTATAATTGGGCACTTCAGCAGGGCTTTTTGGTGCCAAAAAGCTGCACTAAAGCACCCTATCTATACAGATGCTGCAGAGCAGTGTCAAACTAACACGCTGAAAAATATAACTATGGTAAACCATACTTTTTTTTTTTAAAGGACCAACAACTCTTTTTGGATATTTGACATGCAAGTATATATCTTTAATCCCTGATCTGATCATCGTGCCTCTTCTAGGCATGCACTGGGCTCAGTGCTGGAGCATGCCGAATTCTAAGTAAAACGTGTTTTTTGTTTGGTTTTTTTTTCCATGTCTGCAAGCAGCCATGAATACCACAAGGCTCTAAACATTTCTTTTCTATGATGTTCATTATAACTGCAAATATATTTTTGTGAACACTACCTAAATGCTGGGCATAGAAAATCTGGCCCTTTGTACTGAAAATGTCAAAACTGGTGAAGGTCAAACACTCAAGCTTGATGCCCACTACAATAGCATTTCTGTTGCTTCTGGACTTATATTGTTTCAATGGTTAAATCAGATAGTGAATTTGTTTAATATGTATTGTATTAATATTTATCACAATGACACATTTACATCTCCTCTGTACAGAGATGTCCCATAAATTGTAGAGAAAAATTGGAACTATTGAATTTGTTGTGGTTTACTGTAAGAAAATTACCAATTTTTACATTTAAATAACTATCTTCCTTATTGAGGACACTGAATGTGATGAATCTGATTAATGCTAAATTAGCTACATCCTGTCACAGAAAGGGTGTAATAACTATTGAGGATAATAGGCACTGGCAGATTCAACTTTGTGTTAAAGGCAAGA